TTTGTGTGTTTGCTTGCTTGCTTGTTTGCTTGCTTGCATGTTTTGGAGTGTTTTCTTCTGCTTTTCCTAACACCTTATCATGTCTGCCAGTTCTTGAACTCCATTGGAGAAGTTGGTTTTAGTCCCCCTGTCTTCTTCCTACACCACAGCTGAAATTGCCTGCTGCATTATTGAGTATTTTTCAAGCTTAACTCCAAGACAAATAAAGAGTCTGTCTTCCTGAAATTCAGTGTGAGCATCCATTTAAGGTGCATTTTAAATACTGAATGTTAGGCTGAGGCAATAGGCAGAAATGTCAAAGTCTTCAGCATGCAAACATTTTATTTTCCCCTTGATAAACAAGATCCGAGTGACCAGTTAGGTCTGTGGGCACTGCTTTAATTTAGTCCCAGTGTTCTGAGCCCAGTAAGTTCAGGGGAGTTTGTGCTGCAGGAGAAGGGGAAGTTGAGGAGAGAAGGATGCCTCTGTAAAGAATGGAAGCCCAGAGTGGTTCCTCCCTAATGGACATTCCAGCAACTCCTAATAAAAAAAAGAGAGTAGAAAATTAATGTAGAGACTAATGCCAGGTGTTGTGGAAATGACAAGGGAAATGGTGAATAAACACATGGCACAAAGTTTCTGCTGCTTGAGTTTGTGTCTTTCAGAATCCATTGCTCAATAATGTGTGTGGGGACTTCAAAACCACTCCTGCTGTCATGAAAAGCTGAGAGTATTTAATACATTTCATTAAAATGTTGGACAGAATTTCTCTGTTGTCTTGAAACATCTTGGTGGGACCTTTTTGTGGACAAACAATATATAGAATATGCAATACAATATATACAATATATTGGTAGTGGAGAGGGAGAAGTTCAGTCACTGACACAAAAATGAGAATATTTAAGTTTGTAATGGTAACATTTGTTTTGGAAAGCCAAACCATAGGAACGACTTGAAATCTGCTCGTCACTGATTGCAGCTCCCCCTAAGTGGAATACATAGATAAATGAATATTTACAGTAATAATCCTTGTAAGCTTGGAAGGAGTAGGTTTTTTCTTACTGTTGCATATTAGCAGGCTGGTTCTGCTCTTTAGACATGGCTGAATTCAGAGACAATTCAAATTTCCATTTTTTTTGAGCTGCACAGCTGCAAATAAAGTTGAGTTTCATTTGCTGGAGGAGACAAGCCAAACCCAGGGTCCTCACTGGAGTGGCTGCACTCGGTTGACCTCTGTGGAAATGGCTGAAATTCTAATTTCCTGACACTTCTACTGTTTCATGAGGGCCTCGTTGCATGCACAGCCCTTTCTCTTTCTTATCAGAGGCTCTCACCATCAGAGAAGGCACAAAGGAGCCTCCCCCTTCTACAGCACATCATTTCAAGTATCTTTTTATTAATCTGTTCACAATTGTTATTGAACTTTCTTCTCCAGTTTGTAAACCCTCCATTTTAAATTGCTTTCTAGCACTACTTTGAGTGCATGTTTATGTAGGTTACATTATTTCAGCTTTCATCTGATTCCAGGATGTGAAAGGTTTCATTAATTTATTGATGTAAGATCATAGGAAAAAATTCCAGTAGTAATTATTGGTAAAATAATTGCAGTTTCTCTGCTAGCTGTTGCTAGTCTAAATCAGTCTTTTTGTCCCTGTGCTCAGAACACAGCATGCTTTTATCTCTTCATTTTCTTCTGGAGCTGTAGGTACTCCTGCTTGCCAAAGCCATCCTCTTCATCTTCTGTTTAGTCAGATATTTGTGCCTTTTTCCTGTAGATTTGCCACTCATCTCTTTATATTTCTAGGCTATTGCCA